GGGGTTATTGGTCTCATGGCCATGATTCTCAAAACAGCTATCAACTTCAGTGTCGTAAATATCTATCCGTAGCGACCCCTGAAGCTGTCTGTGTTTCGGTAAGTCTGATTTATGTACGAGAATTCCTTCTTGCCTTGTTTTTGGTACAAGAGAGTCAAGCAGGTATCGTGTTCGGACTTGACCAACAAAACAAAGATTGAACTTCAAATAGTCGCTGTATCGATATCTGGACTCGATACTCCATGGACAAGCTTGAGTTGAGGATCTCATTACCGTACTCAATCTAGTAGACCAGGTAATGCGAAATTATCAACCGCTCATCCTGATTCAGGATTCCTGAACTCATCGGAGAAAAAACGTAGCGAAAGAGAGATCGCTGGAAAAAAATCGAACTTGAAATAGTGATAATAACGAGAGTTCTACAAGGAGCAGTGCTCGGAAGACCTTGCACTGATGCCTGCCTGAGTCTTGCTATGAGATTCTCACAGATCTCAGCGAGAACTGGGTCACTGACCTGGGCGAACATCGACCCAGGGGGAAGTTCTTGAGAGCAACGACAAACAATCTCGTGCCATCATAACGTAGACGAGCGAGATCAGAGGCCTTCAGGGGAGCATCTATTTTGGTGATCAGATCCTGCAGCTTGCTCGTATCCGTGACGGTCACATATTTTGTCGAGTCATCGTACGAGTAGGGCACGCCATGCTCGATGCCTCTGCGCACACGACCACTAGTAAAGGGAATCCACGTGGCTTCAATGTTGAACTCGTGACTGTCTGGCATGCTGATCCAGATATCAATTTGACCCTTTGGGAAGATCTCCGAAGAATTGCAATAGTTACCAGACGGTTTAGAGTTGAGGATGGCGTTAACGGCGACAGCGACGATGAGACCGACGAGAATGCGCATTGAGGCGTTGAAATTCGTGGACTGTGATACGGATACCATCGTATTCGAGAAGAGTAACACAACAGGGTACATCAATCATCGATGAGCCATCAATTAATAGTACAGTACTGCGTATTAATACAAATAGTAATTACTAATTGAACAGCACAGCAGCAATCCAATCTCTGAGAGATCAGCAACTTCATAATGTCGACCTTGTCGGGTCCAGAAGTGTTGAGCGTTACACTTACTTTGTAGAGGGGAAGTCCAAGGTATGTCGCTGCGGAACAGCTATGTGTGTGCGTGCGGAACAGGCTACGTCGGACAGCGTGTCTATCACAAACCAGGGGTGAATGGTCAAAATTGCGCGAACTAGCACAAACTTGTAACAAGAAGTTGAACTGCATTGCATATATGCATTAGCAAGACGATGCCGTCATATGATATGACTCTTATCGTTGCGTTAGCATACCAACCCAGTAGTAATTGTTGGGTGCAGTGTCTCCCGCGCCGTAATCTTCTCACCAAGTCACCGTTGTGTCACTGTGGTGCAGCACCTCAGCACCCCTGGTGCTGGGTGCCTGAGAGATCTTTCTCGCTTGTCCATCTCCCTAAGGGACCGCCGGATAGGAACGTCT